CAAGTGTAGCCTCGGGTTACTTGGCTGCCCTGTGAGGGTGAAGGCGGCGAGGAGGGGGGGTGGGAGGGGGCGCGCAGACTGTAAGAATCAGCAACGAGCCGCCTCACGACGTCGTGTGATAGGAAGGGGAAACGAGCAGCAGGAGGAGGAGGGATAGATGGATGGTGGGAGCGAGGGAGGGAAGAGCGCTTATTTACACCCCCCCCTCCCCGGAGAGAGGCGGCGTTGATGCATGATGGTCTTTAAAAGCCTCATTACAACAGCAGGCGGGAGGGGCCGGCGAGTGAGACGAGGCAGCCAATGAGAGACGGCCTCCGCTCGGTAAGGTGATGGAGAAGAAAAGAGAGAAGGGCAAGCAAAATTCTGGCGAGTCGGGGATTCACAACCAATCCACGAAATAGTGATAGCGACTTGGACATTTTGTAGTGCTGCCGGAATGTGTCGTGACAATAGAGTCTCCCCCATATAGTGCCGTCAATGCAGCCAAATACGCTACTCGAGTAAGAGTACCATAGTAACTGGACTCATACCAAGTAAGAGGTGTGGTAACCACGGCAATCATGGTTACGATCAAATTATGCTAAACCATACCTGGGAAAAGGTTCTTCGAGGCGCCAGAGGAATCCAAGCCTTCGAAGAACACAAAGCCTCCACTTGGATGAAAGCATGAAGAGCAGCAGCATCGTCACACAAAGTGAATCAATAAAGTCAATCAATAATCAATCACTTCCAGCGAAAGAGTGACACGTTGACTCCTTGAGAGCAATTTTAATCATTAGACATTGTGCCTCAAAACAAAGTGTGAAGAGATCAACGCAGCCAACCTGATTGTTGACATCTGTTTGCCTTATCAGGACCTTGGTGGCGTCGATCACGTTGGCCTCCATCGTCAGAACGCACGATCACTGAGAAGATTGACAGCTCCAATCGGACACCAGTCAGACTTCACTTGAGGTTGTGACATATTAATTTGAGTGTTTTGGTACATGAGGAGATTGACTTGCGTTCACTTTAGCTCCAGGTTCCACCATTTTATCTCCCCCCCCCCTTTTGTAGGGCATCCCATTTTGTTTTGATTTGGATTAAGGGGCGTAGCCCTGACCTGACTATCGCGAAATCGTCAGTCAGCCGTTCCTTCCGTCCTTCTTTGTGGCCGTCCTTTTTACTTGCTGCCGTTGATTCATGAGCTGACCTCTCACTGCGAATCGCATCAACACACATTTGCCGCCAACCACAAGAATTACAGAAGAAAATATACGAAAGCGGAGCACAACCATGGGGCGTAACACCGCACAAGCACAACTGGAAATAAACCGAATAGATCAAATAGCTAGCAGCCGTTTGGGAGCAAAAAGTACAAACTCTACCCCGCTGTGCTTGTTCGGTTTTGCATAAATAAGAAAACACTACTGTCGTTCCCAAAACTAGTCTTGCAGTTAAAAACAGTATGAAATGTAAAAAAAAAAACCTCTTTATTTCAATACTTTATCTTGCACTATTTCGCTTAAAATTTGGAGTTTGTCATTCCAGAAACTTTGCTTCATTTACATTTAGCAGTAAGCTTTTATTGTCATTTGTTATCATTAAGATTTCTTCATTCATCTAATTATTCTAATTTTTGTTCACTGAAATTGTATAAATATGTTCCCGAATGACCGGGTTCAATTCCAGCTCCGGCCTCCCTGTGTGGAGTTCTCCCCGGGCCTGCGTGGGTTTGCTCCGGGTACTCCGGTTTCCTCCCACATTCCAAAAACATGCATGGTAGGCTGATTGAACACTCTGGATTGTCCCTAGGTGTGAATGTGAGCGTGGATGGTTGTTCGTCTCTGTGTGCCCTGTGATTGTCTGGCAACCGATTCAGGGTGTCTCCCGCCTACTGCCCGAAGACAGCTGGGATGGGCTCCAGCACCCCCGCGACCCTAGTGAGGATCAAGCGGTTCGGAAGATGAATGAATGAATGAATGTTCCCGAATGCTAATCTAGTTGACATTCCATAGGGCAACACTAGTGACTATTAAGGCCTGAGCAGATTAGATTAACATGGCAACACACAGAGGCAGACATCTGATTGGACCAAAAAAAAAAACAACAAAAAAACCCAAAACGAAAAATCTGATATCCACGTACTTGAAGCAGCACAGCAAAGGCAAATGCTTCAAGAAAAAGGAGGAGGAGAAGGACGACAACAACCCCTCTTGTTGGCTTGAACACTGCCGAAAAAGCCGGAGGCACCTCAGCAGCTTCGGGCCTGAAGCCAGCCTACCATCTGCTTGCTGCTCACATGTCAGCCCGCACCAAAACACAAGCGGACTCATCGACACAACACTACGCGATACAACTCAACGTAACATGGTACACAATATGGTACGACGCAACCCAACAACGATCCGCCAACGCTACACAACACAATGCAAAAGTACACAAAGCAACACAATATAACACAGCATGATCATCGCACGAACACAACAAACAATTGAATCTCACTTGCAGTTCAAATTTGCGAGCGAAATAAAAATAAACATCAAATCTCTTTTTCAGACCTGCGCGTGATGGATGATGGGTGACGGATTGTTCTTGATTAATGAGTGTCAAGGTGAAAGCCGCTTTTTCGTGGCCAGCTGATAACGAACCGGTTGTCCGTCTGCCATCACAACTGACTTTGGACGGCCGCCTGCTGAATCCTAGTCTGCCTTTGATTTTTGCCCTTTGTTTCCCGGCCAGCTGCTGCCGCTAATCCCCACCGGGAACATCTTCCATCCTTTTCAGATCGTCAGCTGTTAGCCTGATCCAAGGAAACAAGTGGAGTGACACCTCCCCGCTGCGGGATAATCAGTGGAAATGTTGTCTTATGCTTTTGAAATCTCACTGGATTTCAGCTTGCTTCAATGTGTACAATCACAGCTTCACGATGTGTCTCCTTTATCCTCTAGGCTCTCCTGCAGACCATTTGTGTTCACATCACTTCATTCCCCCCCCCCCAACTATTTTAGAGTGCTCAGACCACAGGTGAGTGACTTTATTGTGAAGGCAAATGTAATGAAACTTCCCAAGGGTTGAATTTTGTCTGCATTGTCTTTTCCAAATTCAACTCTTTGAAGCCCCTGTAAAGTGAAAATGAACATGTCTTGTTAATTTGATACACCGCGGGGTTTTTAAAATCTCGGCCTCTACAACAAGGCGATCTAAAGGCTTTAGCTTGAAGCCCTAGCCCATACCCCGGCTGTCAAGTCAGATTTTTTTCGCCCCAAATTTCCTCTCTCCTTGCTCTTCCACCCACTCTCCACGTGATGCATGCACACGAGATGCACTAAAGCAACCATGTCGGCATACTTAGTGAGAGTGATAACCGTGGAGGGGGTGGTGCTCAGGCTCTTCTCCAAAATGCATCACAAGGCCTTAATTTTAATTTTCATGCAAATGTTCACTGTCATTACTTTGGCGAGTGATAAACTATGGCACGTTCTCATTTGAGATGAATGAATGACACATTGTGGTTGCCACGAGAGAACTAACACATGGACGGTCCCACCAACAAAACTGTCGAGCAAGAATGTGACATACTACTTCAAAAACGTTCGGGATACTCATGGTGAAATTCTAGAAGCATCTTAAAATTCACAAAAAGCTTGACAGGTTTAACTTCATTTGACCTTCTGTAAAGTTCATCTGGAAATTGCACCCCAAAGAGGCCAAATCCCAAACTTTTGGTGTATTTTCTGTTAAATAGAAACAACAACTCTGATCCACCCTCATCCAGGAGGAGCAGCAGGTTCCGGAGACTAAAGCTGGCACACAATAGAGGACACCACAGCCACCCCACCAAGGACGACACTGAAGTATAAATGTCCCCGTCCCACTGTTAGGCGACAACTTTCTCCATCAGGTCTACGAACGGAGACTCTCTGTGGCGACCATGAGCAGCGACGGTGAGATGGCAATCTTCGGGCCAGCCTCCCAGTACCTCCGAAAATCTGAACGGGAAAGGACGGAGGCGCAGGCTCGGCCTTTTGACAGCAAAACGGCCTGTTTTGTCAGTGAGGACAAGGAGGTGTACGTAAAAGCCACCATCCAGGACAAGGCGGATGGAAAAGTCAACGTCAAGACGGAAGACGACAGGGTGTGTGGACATTTTCTCGCTTTGTCTTCAGTTCTATTTTTCTACTTCTACCCAATTTTAGCACCAATTACATCGGTATAGATAGATCGTAATACAGTAAAGTTACTTTGGCGCTATCTTGTTGCAATTTGGTGCCAGTGAACTATGTTTAAGTGAGTTGAGGAGCTGTGTTTAGACAAAAGTAGTGTTTTGCTGCAATGTTGATTGTAAAACTTTTCTGTCTGGGGGCTTCAATTATAGATTTTTGCTATTTGTTATTTTAGCTATCTCACCACTAGGACACTGTTATTTATTTTGTTTTTGTTTTTTTTACATTTTAGTTACATTAGTTGAAAACAACAACAAGAAGAGTGATGATAAAAGTATAAAAATACAGTACGGGCCAATGTCGCTGAACGTTAGCGCTCTATTTCTTGAAGAAAAAATTCGCATTTCATGTAACTTTTCACTTTTTAAGGTTGTGGGTGAGCTGCGTTTGGGTGAGAAGCCGGGTAGATCATGGACTGGTCGCCAACCAATCAAAGGGCACATGTAGACAAAAAAAACAAAAACATTCATACTCTCATTCACACCTATGGACAAATTTTCGTTTTCAACGAAATTAATGGTCGTTTTATTTTAATGTTGGAGGAAGCCTGAGTAGGTGCCATAAACATAACATTATTATTATTATGATTTCTACTGTCTGCGGTCATTCGGGTTGTAATTTGGTGTTCCTGGTTTGTGCGCAGACATTGACCGTGCAGGAGGATCAAGTATTCCCCATGAATCCTCCCAAGTTCGACAAGATCGAGGACATGGTCATGATGACGCATCTCCACGAGCCGGCCGTGCTCTTCAACTTGAAGGAGCGCTACGCCGCCTGGATGATCTACGTAGGTCTCCAAAGCGGGGGTTGAGGGAGAACTTTTGACTCGCTCATAACGATAACGATGTGGAGCCCTAAATGTCCGACTCGTACATGGACTTTAAGATGGCTATCAAGGAAACAGGAATAAGTGTCGAATGGCTTTCTACACAGACGTACTCTGGTCTTTTCTGCGTGACCGTCAACCCTTACAAATGGCTGCCGGTCTACAACCCAGAGGTGGTCCAGGCCTACCGAGGAAAGAAAAGGATGGAAGTTCCGCCTCACATCTTCGCCTTATCCGATAACGCCTACCAGTTCATGCTGACAGGTAAGGCGGCAATGCAAAGGCATTCTTCAATTCTTTTGTTCGTGGTTTGGTCACCTGACTTGTTTTCTACCACAGATCGTGAAAACCAGTCCATCCTCATCACGTAAGCAGAGAACCATTTTGTTTTCTTCACGTGAACAACTCACCAAAGAAATTAAATTTTAAAAAAAATTGTGATCGTGCGTCTTCAGTTCATCCTGAAATTTCAACATAAAAGCAAACATAACCAGTTTTTTGTGACTACCACATGACCTTAGATGATAATCTGTATGTTGTTTCCAGCGGCGAATCTGGCGCAGGAAAGACGGTCAACACCAAGCGAGTCATTCAGTACTTTGCCACCATCGCTGTGTCTGCGGACAAGAAGAAGGAGAACAACAGCAAAATGAAGGTTGGTTCCTTGATGCCTCGCGGATAACCAGACGTCCGGATGACCCATTTGCTGGTCCACAGGGAACCCTGGAGGACCAGATCATCCAGGCCAACCCTCTGCTGGAAGCCTTTGGCAACGCCAAAACTGTGAGGAACGACAACTCTTCTCGCTTTGTGAGTTTCTTTTGGGTGTTGATGAAGAAGCTTCCGGGTGGTTGTTGATGCCTTTTCCACGTTGAGACCAAGTTGCATCTTTCAGGGTAAATTCATCCGAATACACTTTGGCGCAACTGGCAAACTGGCATCGGCAGATATCGAAACATGTAGGTGTTCTGAGATGTTTTAATAATCTGAGTGAGATTCATCTAAACAAGTATCACTTTTCATTTTCCTTACTGAAAGATCTGTTGGAGAAGTCCAGAGTGTCCTTCCAGCTGGGCGCCGAGAGGAGCTATCACATCTTCTATCAGCTGACCTGCAACAAGAAGCCCGAACTCATCGGTAAACTTGAGCTCACAGCTAAATTCCTTCTCGACAACATTTCCCCAAAACGTGTCATCCTGTTCATCTTTAGACCTGCTTCTCATCACCACCAACCCTTACGACTTTGCCTTCATCAGCCACGGCGAGATAAGCGTGAAAAGCATAGATGACGCTGAGGAGTTGATGGCCACGGACGTGAGTGCGGTAACGAGTGATTTGCGTCGAGGATTCACTGAGGAACATTGTTCGGCTCGTTTGTGCTCCAGGAGGCCTTCGACATTCTGGGTTTCACCCTGGATGAAAAAATGTCCATCTACAAGCTGACAGGAGCTGTGATGCATTACGGGAACATGAAGTTCAAGCAGAAACAGCGAGAAGAACAGGCAGAACCGGAGGGCACTGAAGGTCAGGAGATCTCTCGAACTCAAACATAGAATGAGAGATGGCATTTCTTTTATTCCAGGAGTTCTAAGCCACCGGGCCGCACAGTACCAGTCTGTAGACCAGCACACACAGAGAGACTGAACAAAAATGTTGCTCATCAGAGTCAACCTGTCGAAATATTATTTCAACCCTGCTCGTGTTTACATAATGAGCTCTAACAACACTGGGATGTTGTTACTTTTGTCCATCCATCCATCCATCCATTTTTTACCATTTACCCGGGGTCGGGTCCCGGGGCAACAGCCCAAACTTCCTTCTCCCCAGCCACTTCTTCCAGCTCTTCCCGGGGGATACCGAGGCGTTCTCAGGTCAGCTGGGAGATATAGTTTCTCCAGTGTGCCCTGGGTTGTACCCGGGGCGTCCTGCCGGTGGAACATGCCCGAAACACCTCACAAGGGAGGCATTCTAATCAGATGCCCGAGCCACCTCACCTGGCTCCTCTTGACGTGGAGGAGAAGCGACTCGACTCTGAGGCCCTCCCGGATGACTGAGCTTCTCACCTTATCTCTAAGGGAGAGCCCGGACACCCTGCGGAGGAAAACTCAGTTCGGCCGCTGGTATCCGTGATCGCGTTCTTTCGATTACGGCCCATAGTTCATGACCATAGGTGAGGGCGGGAACATAGATAGACCGGTAAATCGAGAGCTTCGCCTTTTGGCTCAGCTCCTTTTGTCCATTGTACTCCGAAATATTGTTTTAGTCGCCGTTATGAAAGAAAATCCTGCTTCAGAAATAGGATCTTGGAAATGGAAGCAAGGCATTCAGTGCTTTTTTTTTCGGGGCCATGAAGAAGTTTGAAAAATATTTTTGGTTCATCTCTGTGTGACCGCTGATTTACACCACATCTCTTAAACAAAGGAAAGACTTACTTTGATGATTTTTTAAAAATCAAAACTGCAGAGGCTGACAAGGCGGCATATCTAATGGGTCTGAACTCTGCCGACCTTCTGAAGAATCTCTGTTACCCGCGCGTGAAGGTGGGCAACGAGTACGTCACCAAGGGACAAAATGTGCAGCAGGTATGACAACTGTCTGACAAGCACATGTTGAAACGATGCATCTTTATTCTTAATTACATGCTACATTTCACCAACAAGTGGATGAAGGAGCCGAGATTATCTAGCCTAATTTCACACGTGGTGTGTTTGGCCTGCCGAAAGCACTGAAATGTCACACATCATTTTGAATGTAAGAGGTTTATACCTACCGTGAATGAAAAGGGATGTAATTCTTCTCATCCCACAAATCCAGTTAGCAGCTGAGGTGAGCCAACATTTTTCTCCTTCTGTCAGGTCTACAACTCCATTGGCGCATTGGCGAAATCTGTTTACGAGAAGATGTTCCTGTGGATGGTGCAGCGCATCAACCAGCAGCTGGACACCAAGCAGCCCAGGCAACACTTTATCGGCGTTCTCGACATTGCTGGATTTGAAATCTTTGATGTAGGTCACTGCAATTCATAAAAAGGGGATTATCATTATTGGGTACTTAAAATTAAAAAGTTTCTGGAAGGTCAAATCAGTCCAAATTCCTTTTCTATGTCAACACAGCGCAACTCTCAACTGATCTTCAAACCTCATGGATTACAGTTCTGGATAGTTCACTATTATGTCATACTTTCTTTTCTGGGGGCAAAAGGCACAGCATTTTCCGATGCTGCCACAAGTAGTTGTAGTTTAAATCCGTGAAGCATCACTCCTGAGAGGCAAACTGCTTGGAAGGAAAACCAAATGCTGGCCATACAACCGACCCCCTCAAACTCGTGGACCGGCTCAATATTTCAATGCATATCAGTGAGTGATGTCTTCCCTCTTGAATGTCTCCAAAGTTCAACAGCATGGAACAGCTCTGCATCAACTTCACCAATGAGAAACTGCAGCAGTTTTTCAACCACCACATGTTTGTGCTGGAGCAAGAAGAGTACAAGAAGGAAGGCATCGACTGGGAGTTCATCGACTTTGGCATGGACCTGGCAGCCTGCATTGAGCTCATTGAGAAGGTAGATGGTTTTTAGTTGCTGGAATGTCAACTTGTGATGTTGTGATGCTGTTTTTTTTTTAATCTACTAGCCAATGGGCATCTTCTCCATTTTGGAAGAGGAGTGCATGTTCCCAAAGTCAAGCGACGTAACCTTCAAGAACAAACTTTACGACCAACACCTGGGCAAGAACAGCTGCTTCCTGAAGCCCAAAGTGGTCAAGGGCAAGCCAGAAGCTCACTTTTCACTGATGCATTACGCCGGCATGGTGGACTACAACATCAGCGGCTGGCTGGAGAAGAACAAGGACCCGCTGAACGAATCCGTAGTACAGCTGTACCAGAAGTCGTCAGTCAAGATCCTCGCAATGCTTTATGTCACATATTCTGGAACAGATGGTAGGTTTTTATTTGGTCTCCTTTTGTCTTGAAACATGGAAGAAACGAGCTTAAAAAAAAAGGAGTACCATGCACTCTAATGTATATGCAGATGCACCAGCTGGAGGAGGCAAGAAAGTGTCCAAGAAGAAGGGAGCATCTTTCCAAACGGTGTCAGCGTTGTTCAGGGTAGGAAGAAGTCAACAGCATTACAAGTGTATCGAAATCGCGATTAAATGTAAAATGGCATGTTAACTTGCCGTACTTTAGACGAAGGAATGCTCGGGTCATTATTTCTTGCAGGAGAATCTCGGGAAGCTCATGACGAACCTAAGGACCACTCATCCTCACTTTGTGAGATGCCTCATTCCGAATGAGACGAAAACTCCAGGTAGAATGCCTCATTTTTGATTTAGAATGCAGCAGGGTCGTCTGGCAGGCTTTTTTGTTTTCTTTAGTTGATTTTGTGAATGACTGTATTGCATAGGCATTATGGAGAACCACCTGGTCCTCCACCAGCTACGCTGCAACGGTGTGCTGGAAGGCATCCGCATCTGTCGGAAAGGATTTCCGAGCAGGATTCTGTACGGAGACTTCAAGCAAAGGTCAATAAATGTTCACGTGAGAATTCCAATGTATCATAAAGCATTTATGTTGGTTGGTTTTTTTTTTTTGGAGACACCTCGTGTTGCTTTTACAGATACAGGATCCTAAATGCTAGTGCTGTTCCAGAAGGACAATTCATAGATAACAAGAAAGCAGCAGAGAAACTTCTGGGCTCCATTGACGTGGACCACACACAGTACAAGTTTGGGCACACAAAGGTTCTGATTTTCTTAAATGTTAGGGTTCAATTTAGTCCGACAAATGGACGAGCTTCTGTCTAGCTGCAAATGTTTTCTTCTTTACCAGGAAGATAATCTTGTCTGATTTGGTCATTTTATCCAGAAGGAACTAAAACCCCAACCACAAAAATACTCAATACACTCAGTCAGTATTAATCATGTATAGATCATAGTATGATAAATATGGAAATTAATCTGATTGTTTTCCATCATTCAGAGTGTTGACTTGGAAGAGTATTTGAACAATGGCGACGTCATTTTCAGGTGTTCTTTAAAGCTGGCCTCCTGGGAGCTCTGGAGGAAATGAGGGATGAACGGTTAGCTCAGGTTGTGATGTCCACTCAGGCAATGTGTCGTGGATTTCTCATCCGGCTGGAGTATCAAGAGATGATGGCCAGGAAGTAATCATGCATGCAGTATAATTACGTCCTCTAGCATTGTAAAGAATCTCTCGTCGTGGGGCCAACATGTGTTGTTGTTGACAGGGAGGCCATTTACACCATCCAGTACAATTTCCGTTCCTTCGTGAATGTCAAACACTGGCCGTGGATGAAGCTGTACTTTAAACTCAAGCCACTGCTCAAGAGCGCAGAGGCCGAGAAGGAAATGGCCCAAATGAAAGTGGACTTCACAAAGCTCAAAGAAGATTTGGCCAAGTCAGAAAACCGACGGCGGGAGATTGAAGAAAAGATGGTCTCAGTTGTGCAAGAACGTAACGATCTTCTTCTCCAAGTCCAGGCGGTAAGTTTCAAATCGATTCCCGGGTGAGTTGTGCCCATGGTTGGCCATCAAGCAGCAACCGGCATCTTCCTGTGTTAGAGTTCAAATTACTTAAGTAGTATCTAGGGGACAAGCTTCTACAAGTGTGCAGTTTGCATTTTCTCACCCTGCTTGTGTGGATTTTCTCAGCGTTTTTCGGTTTTCTCTTACATTCCAAAAACATGCATGTTCTACATATTTGAGAGTTAATTATGGAAGAATGCCCCAAACTTAATCTTGTAATGTTCCAGAATAATCAGGAACAGAGGCGGATACCACAATCTTAGACAGAGGCAAAATAATCTTAGAGGAAAACTTCATTACAAGAAAAGCACACAACCGACAAAGTACGAATTAGGAAACTGGTCAACAAACCCGGGAAAAAAACGTTACAAACAAAAAGCACTTGCAGAGGGCAAGGAAATAAATAATGAAAATAGCTTGGCATAAAAAGACAAGAAAAAACTTGAATTGCGAGAAAAAAAATACAAAACAAACAACAACACTATTTACAAAACGAGGCAAACCATGGCAAGGACAGAAACAAGAATTAGCAAGACTCGAGCATCTAGAAAATAAGCACTTGGTACGTGGTCTGTAAGCAAGACGAATAATCCAACAGCAAGTTCTCGGCGTAGTTGTCCTTATGTTGTCCATTGATGATAACGCATGACAGGTGCTGTGTTGGAGGGAAACGCCTACCACAACTCCCGCCAGAAACTGAAACCAAAAACAAACAGGAATATGACAAATTTATGACTTATGGCTTTTCCATTATTTGAGCATGACAAATGTGGGTGTGGGTAAGAATATTTCCTAAATGTGTGTTTCACCTTGTCAGGAGTCTGACAACCTGCTGGATGCTGAGGAACGCTGTGAGGGACTCATCAAGAGCAAGATCCAATTGGAGGCCAAGCTGAATGAAGTGATGGAGAGACTGGAGGACGAGGAGGAGCTGAACGCCGAGCTAACGGCAAAGAAACGAAAGCTTGAAGATGAGAGTTCCGAGCTGAAGAGGGACATTGATGACCTAGAACTGACCTTAGCCAAATTGGAGAAGGAGAAACACGCCGTGGAAAACAAGGTGAGTGGACGCAAGCACGATGATTCCAATCTTAACATTTAACATCACATCTTACTATCCGTTAAAGGTGAAAAACCTGACAGAGGAGATCATGAGTCAGGATGACACCATTACAAAACTGGCCAAGGAGAAAAAAGCCCTGCAAGAAGCCCATCAGCAAACACTGGATGACCTGCAGGCCGAGGAGGAGAAGGTCAACATCCTCAGCAAGACCAAAGCAAAGTTAGAGCAGCAGGTTGACGAGGTGAGTTGCCGCTCGTTCGCAAAGATGATCACAACTGACATACGTTGCGATTGAAAAACTCTTAACGTTGTAGTTGGAAGGCGCGCTGGAACAGGAGAAGAAGATCCGGGTGGACCAGGAAAGAGCCAAGAGGAGGTTGGAGGGTGACCTCAAACTCTCCCAGGAATCGATCATGGATCTGGAAAATGAAAAACAGCAGCTGGATGAGAAGCTGAGAAAGTGCGTTTACACACCCTTCAATTAAGGTCACATGTAAATGTTGTAGTGCAGCGGTCCCCAACCTTTTTTGGCCCATGGACCGGTTTAATGTTAGATAATATTTTCAGGGACTGGCCTTTAACTCATTCACTCCTAAAGACGTAATTAGATGTCTTTGGGAGTGAAGGAGTTAAGGTGTTGCGGATAAATTACAACGAAATAATATGATATGACCTGCTTGAAAACTATGGCATTTTCTAAACATAATAATAAAAATGAATCATGACACGAGGAACGTCCTAACTGGCCGCAACGCTCTCTGGTCGCTATGGTAATGTTTAAACGTGCCTTCAAAATAAGATACATCGCAAATACAAAGCGCATGAAAAATACGGCTCACCATCGCCGCATATTATTAGCTTGGTACATGGGAATCTCCCGTTGCGATAAAACCGTATTTTAAGTAGGACTCTTGATACTGTCTATAAAATGTAACCTTCTTTTTCTTGAAAGTCGTACGCTCCTCTTCTGGGACTTTTCCCCTTCCCAAAGAAACTTTCCAGAGACGTTTGCTTTTTTTTTTTTGTTTTTTTTTACTCATTTTAGTCGCTCCTGGGTTACATTTTAGCGGTAACCTATCACGTGACCGAGAAGCGCGACTTGACCTCCGTCACACTGTAGACGGATGTAACAGAGAATCCGGTAATTTTTCAAAATAAAACATCGATCAGATTCCGAATTAGATAAAATGGAAGTAATGTAAATTATCTATTCTTTCTGTGCGGCCCGTTACCAAATGACCCACGGACCGGTGCTGGTCCGCGGCCCGCAGGTTGGGGACCACTGTTCTAGTGCATTTTTAGTTATTTCAAAATTCGACCCAAAAGCCAAATTTTAGAATGTACCCAAACTTAGTATGAGCATCTCTAAAAAATAACTTGTGGGATTGAATCTCAATTTAATTGGCCCCATTGCCGTCATGTCGGCGTATTCATCTGAACTTTCTCCTACAGGAAAGACTTTGAGGTGTCGCAGCTTCAGACAAAGGTGGAGAATGAACAAGCTCTCGGGTCACAGCTGCAGAAAAAAATCAAAGAGATCCAGGTGATAAATTCTCCTTCAGACGGTTTCGACCAAATGACATGAACTTGATTGGACTTCAGTTTATAAGCTTCTATTTACGCTTCTCATTTGCAGGCCCGATGTGAAGAGCTGGAGGAGGAAATGGAGGCTGAGCGTGCTGCTCGAGCCAAAGTGGAGAGGCAGAGGTCGGACATGTCCCGGGAGCTGGAGGACATCACTGAGAGACTGGAGGAGGCTGGAGCGTCCATCGCCACTCATGTGGAGGCTAACAAGAAACAAGAGGTTGAGTTCCTTAAACTGCGTAGAGAACTGGAGGAGCGGTCAATGCAGCATGAGGCCACGTCTGCCGCCCTGCGCAAGAAGCACGCAGACAGCGTAGCCGAGTTGGGGGAGCAGCTGGACAACATCCAGAGGGTCCGACAGAAACTGGAGAAAGAGAAGAGTGAGCTGAAACTAGAGATGGATGACCTGTCCAGTAATCTGGAGAGTGTGGCGAAAGCCAAGGTCAGGCAGTGTGAAGTCTAATCACAAGCAACCCGGATTGTTTCAAACAAGAAATTGTCTTTCTCTAAGTAGATTAATCTGGAGAAAATGTGCCGCTCGCTTGAAGATCAACTCAGCGAGGTCAAAGCTAAAGAGGAGGAGCAGCAGAGGCTGCTAAATGACGTGTCCAGCCAAAACACTCGACTGCAGACAGAAAATGGTGAGCAAGACCTGAGTATGCCTGCCTCATATCTCATGATTGCTTGTTGGGGGTGTCGAAATGAATTATATAATCGAGGCATCGGCGACACAGTGGTAGTCCATAATCAACATTCACGCAATGACTTTGCTTGTTGATTTTCGGCTCACGGCATATAAATTCTTGCGGTGCGTGCTGAGTGTTCCTGAGTGTCTAATTCAAGGTATTCTAACTCGATTATGTATCTTGATACGTGGGGTACATTATTATTCAAGAACGGTACGATTTCAATTGGAACAAATTGATTTAGTTGAATTTAGTGGAATTATGATTCAATATGATGTAGCTGTAGCTCTGGTCATGTTTATCAATATGTAACAACATGTAAAATCTCTCTCATGCCCAAACTATCCAAATTGATTAAATTCAATGAATCAACAAATCATCAGCAACATCAAACTGATTCCTACCCGGTGTGCATCTCTCATGAAAAAAAATCGGACACGTATCACGTGGTGCGATACGATTCAAGGACGATACTTATTAAAAAGTAACAATTCGATTTGATTAAATCAAGACCGATTTTCTGGTTCAAATCGGTTTTTGTTAGACCCCCATTAAATGTATTTTAAATCACAAAAGAAAGCTCTATTCATTCATGAGAACTAAACTGGAGCAATTTTGCATAGAAAAATGATGGGACTCATCACGTTGCAAGGCGCCATCTAACTGCATTGAATCATTGACCTAATCAATAAAAGTGTCAGGCTTGTAAAGTTTCACAACTACTACCTGGAACTGTTAAAAAAAAAAAAAATCTTCCCATTGTGCAGTTGAAATGTCCCGTCAGCTGGAGGAGAAAGCCGTGCTCCTGTCTCATCTCACTCGGGGTAAGCAAGGATTCCTCCAGCAGATTGACGAGCTAAAGAGACTCAACGAAGAGGAGGTCAAGGTGAGCGTGGACAAGCTGACGTATAACCACGGAAGCAACGTAAAATACGCTGACCGTCATTTTTTGTGAAGGCCAAGAACGCCCTGGCACACGTGTTGCAGTCCGCGCAACATGACTGTGAGCTTCTGAGAGAGCAGTATGAGGAGGAGCAGGAAGCCAAGGCCGAGCTCCATCGCTGTCTCTCCAAGGCCAACAGTGACGTGGCCCAGTGGAGAAACAAATACGAGACAGACGCTATCCAGCGGAATGAGGAGCTGGAAGAAGCAAAGTGAGAAAGACGAAATCAACAAGCAGCAGGGCCTCATGGTTTTTGAACACTGGTGGGCGGGCGGAACAAGACCTTCCCTGTTGGCCGAAGCACCATGAGAAGCACGGATCTCCATGGGCGTTACATTACGGGCATATTATGTTGGCGTTAACTCCAGCTATGAATAGCGAAAAGACATGAGTATTATTATCCCTCAAAAGGACAATTGATGTAGCAGCAGGAGCAAATAAAGGAAAAGCCACACAATGACAATACCACTTGGCACTTGGGATAAATGAGATTTGGAGACTTTTTGAACATGTGAATTCGCAAATCATATACAGTGGGGATTCACTGGATGTTTTTTTTTTTTTTATTATTCTGGCAGGAAGAAGCTAGCACTGCGTCTGCAGGAAGCAGAGGAAGCAGTGGAGGCAGTCAACTCCAAGTGTTCATCTCTGGAGAAGACAAAGCAGCGACTGCAGGGAGAAGTGGAGGACCTGATGATGGACATGGAGAGGTCCAACGCCGCCGCCGCCATCGTGGACAAGAAGCAGAGGAATTTTGATAAGGTTTTCCTTCTCAGACCTTCCTTGATACATGATAAGGATTCACAACCATCGAGTTATGCAACCCCTTTTTCCAGGTTCTTGCTGAGTGGAAGCAGAAGTATGAGGAGGGTCAGACGGAACTGGAGTCAGCGCTCAAAGAAGTGCACTCTTTGGGCACCGACAACTTCAAGATGAAGAATGCTTTTGAAGAATGTCTGGAACAGCTGGAGACTTTCAAGCGGGAAAATAAGAACCTTCAACGTAAGCCTTTGTGTCGATTCTCAGTCATAAAGGTCAGGGTAATGTTGAATCGGACCAACTTGACCCTTCTCATTATTTCACAATGTTTCGCCAGTCCATAAGAAAAAGAACATGTTGGTCGAGATGTTCGTACAATGATGTCCAAATCCTGGACAGAGAGGATTGCCTGTTTGAAAAAGATGTGCGAGATGCCATATATGCCAAACTATAAAAGTAGTCTCTAAAGGGAGGAAGAGGTTTAAACTTTTATTGCCTGCTTACGACAATGTCCGAAGATCTCTACCCGCAAGATTGTTATCTAGTCCTCAGTTTTTGTTTTCTTGTTCCAGAGGAGATAGTGGATCTCACTGAGCAGCTGGGAGAAATGGGGAAAAACATCCATGACCTGGAAAAATCCAGAAAACAGGCTGAACAGGAAAAGTTGGAAGCGCAGACATCCCTGGAGGAAGCTGAGGTGACCAGCGCATTGACAGCAAGATACAATCCTCCACGGTGGAGCCCACCTCAGTTTCTTGTGACCACTCTTGTGTCCGTGTAGGCCTCCTTGGAACATGAGGAATCCAAGATTCTGAGAGTCCAGCTGGAACTCAACCAGGTGAAGAGTGAAGTGGACAAGAAGATCGCGGAGAAGGACGAAGAGCTGGATCAGATGAAGAGAAACAGCCAACGGATCATCGACACCATTCAGACCAACTTGGATGCCGAAGTGAGGAGTCGAAATGACGCGCTGAGAGTGAAGAAGAAAATGGAGGGAGACCTCAACGAGATGGAGATCCAGCTGAGCCATGCCAACAGGCAGGCAGCCGAGGCTCAGAAACAGCTGAGGAACGTGCAAGTTCAGCTCAAGGTAAGCGACATCTGTAAAATGTGCACAAATATCAAATCCACGCTTTCAATGTGATATCTTTGCATCCTTCATCAGGATGTTCAGATTCAGATGGACGATGTCCTGAGAAGTAATGAGGACATTAAGGAGCAGGTCGCTATGGCGGAACGCAGGAGCAATCTGGTGCAGGCAGAAATCGAGGAAGTCCGAGCTGCCCTGGAACAAACGGAGAGGAGCCGCAAATTGGCTGAGCAGGAGCTGCTCGACGCCGGCGAGAGAGTTCAGCTGCTCCACTCTCAGGTTTGAACAGCCAAACATCTGCTGGCTTTGGACAAGTAACAAAACCTTCTGCCGAAATGTAATCTATTTTACAGAACACCGGTCTGCTCAATATCCGCAAAAAGTTGGAGGCTGACCTGTCTCAGATTCAAGGAGAGATGGACGATATCGCCCAAACAGCCCGGAATGCAGAGGACAAGGCTAAGAAGGCCATCACCGATGTACGTTCATCTCGAATTTTCCCTCTGAAGTCAGGAATGATGTAACATGTAGCATGGTCTCCTTGCAAAGGCCGCCATGATGGCTGAGGAGCTGAAGAAAGAGCAAGACACGAGCGCTCACCTGGAGAGGATGAAAAAGAACGTGGAAACTACTGTCAAGGACCTGCAGCAGCGTCTGGATGAGGCCGAGAGTCTCGCCATGAAAGGCGGGAAGAAGCAGCTCCAGAAACTTGAAGCCAGGGTGAGTAAGTGGCTGTCATAGCCCGCGAAAAGAGGAAATGTGTGGAGAATCAGTCTGTGAAGATTCTCAGTCATCCAGGTTATTCATAAAAAGGCAGAAATAGGAAATCTCCACTCTTAAGATTTCGAACTGAAGAACCTTTTTTGATTTTGAGACGGAACGTCTTTAATAACCAGGACGAGTTTGGTTGCCAAAATGCAACTTTTGTGGACCTTCGACAATCAGTTCCAGAGCAAAGTTCTCATGACTCCATTTGCACACTTAACAGGTGCGAGAGCTGGAAAATGAGTTGGAGGCGGAGCAAAGACACGGTTCCGAGGCTGTGAAAGGGGCACGGAAGCTGGAACGCAAGATGAAGGAGCTCACTTATCAGGTTGAGTAGAAAGAATAACATCAAGTGAGCCCCTCACTATTCGCAGGAGACATGTAAGGGACATGCCGCAAATGGCAAAAAGCTGTAAGTGACCAATGCCTACGGATTACAAAATGGATGGATGAATGCATGGATTCAAAGTTTAAACCTTAAATACACCCCAAAGTATGATCTCAAAACACTTTAACCCTTTCATGCACCAATAATGACAACCTGTAACCTGATATCATGATAAGCTGTCCACTGTAGTAACTAACCGCTGTCCCTGAAAGGATTCATATGATTTCATACTCATCTTATATATTTTTTTAAATGCATTGGGAGCGTACTGTATATCACTATCGTGGTCCGTAAAAATACGAACTGTCGGGCAAAAATGAGCCCTTTCATTTTGTTAGCCACTCAGCAGAGCAAACACGTACACATGCAGCGAAGACTCTAACTTCCACAAAACAACACAGGCTAAACTTAGACCTTGCGGTGTATCATTTAATGATTTTATTTGGGGCACCATTTTGTGGCATTTTAGTGTGTTGCAGAGAGAACACAAAAAAAATATACAGATACCATCCATCCATCCATTTTCCGATCCGCTTAACTCATTCAGTACCAGCCAATTCTGGACCAAGTCTGAAAAGACGTTTAAAAACGTCTTTGGGAGTGAATGAGTCCTCACAATGGTCGCGGGGGGTGCTGGAGCCTATCCCAGCCGTCTTGGGGCAGTAGGCGAGGGACACCCTGAACCGGTTGCCAGCCAATTGCAGCTCACACAGAGATGAACAACCATCCACGCTCACACTCACGTCTAGGCACAATTTAGAGCGTTCAATCAGCCTGCCGTGCATGTTTTTGGAATGTGGGAGGAAACTGGAGTACCCGGAGAAAACCCACGCAGGCCCGGGGAGAACATGCAAATTCCACACAGGGAGGCCGGAGCTGGAATTGAACCCGCACTGTGAGTTCGACGCACTAACCACTGGCCCACCGGGCCGCGTATACAGATACCAGAGAATAAGTAATTTTTCAATGACGATCTGCGCTACAGGTGAATTCGTCCATAGTGACCGGCGAATAGGTGGGAGTTCTTCATACCACCCACATATTTCTCTTCAAGGAACTGATCCAATGTGTCGTTCCTCCTCACAGTCAGAGGAGGAAAAGAAGACGGCCATGAGGCTGCAGGAGCTGGTGGGCAAACTCCAGCTGAAGGTCAAAGTGTACAAGAGGCAGGCTGAAGAGGCGGTGAGTGCGTGGCCTCTCGCGATGCCAATTAGGTTCTTGGTCTGGTTGGTGACTTGCTGTCTTGATGGTGCACAGGAGGAGCAAGCCAACGCTTACATGACCAAACTGAGAAAGGTGCAGCATGAGTTGGAGGAGGCCGAGGCAAGAGCTGACATCGCAGAATCCCAGCTCAACAAGATGAAAGTCAAGAGTCGGGATATGACCAAGGTACAAAAATTGTGGTGTTGCAGGCATTACCGCAAGGGTCTCAAACTCTTCGGATCTTGGAAAAAGAACCCCCTCAAAATCTTAATCCAATTAAACACCAATTAAAAACTTGCAATGTTATGAGACTCAGGTCACATTTTGTTGAAGAAATGAGACATCAATTTTCCAAGAACAGAGACAAAATTTGTCGCAAAAGAATTTTTCAATCTTCCGGAAATAAAGTCTATTTTTTTTTTCAAAACTTTAATTTTCCCAGTCATCTTTTCCAAAACAAAGATGTATTTTGTAGGGATGGAAAGCTATAATCTTATGGGAATAAGTTGTCATTAAAAACAACAACAACAATAAACCCGCAAGTAACCTTTACAAGAACAAAGATGCATTTTGTTGGAATAAAATGTTGTAATTGAATCAGATATTTATATAAGAACAAAAGCTTTGCTAGCACAAAGTTGTATTTTGTCACGGTAAAAAAAAAATCACAATAGTACCACCTCTAAAGGATTTTTTTTTAACAGTTCAATTCAAATAAAAATGATCTGTGTAAGAGAAGGAACTTTTTTTAAATTTAATATTATGTGACGATAGATCACAAACATTTAAGCACTGTAATTGGTTGATTATGTTTGTGTTGCCTGCCATTCCTTATATGTACATATGTACCGGTACTTTAAAAAATGAGACATAATTTCATTTTTAGACTCTTAATTTACGGAAGTGGAACCCTTTTTAAGAACCAACGTGGTAGCGTCTGGATGACTGTTCTTTGTTTTGTTTTTTTCACAGAGCAAAGACGGCAGGGAGTAGTCATCATTGGCAACCACCTTGAAGACAACGTGTGCTGTGAACCACTGTAAAAGCCTGCGAAATACTCTGAAAATAATATTTAGATACACGTTTGAAGCCAGTGTGTATACAAAGTCATTCTACATTAAATCAGTTAAAATTGAGACTGCGTCAAAAACACAAACAACCAATATATAGTGAATTATTTTTCGTTTCCAAAAAGTCCATAGTCTTTATAATCAGAACACCAATTAAACATATTGCTGGCGTTGATTGGAAGAGTAGTACCTCCAAAATCATCACTTTTCAGGTGAGAAAAAAAAACCAGTATGAACATTTTATTGGCTATTTTCCACAATTTAAATTGGTCAAACATTTCTAAAAATAACATAATATAGATTTGTGAAAAAAAAAATCAAACCAAATTATGAGATGTTTTGAGCCGCCACCAGCAATAACTAATTTGGATACCCTGAAATACCAAATAAATTGTTCATTTTTTGAAGATTTCAAGTCTTATATTTATTGGCTTGTCAAAACTTGACTAATCAAATTAAATTATCTGAATTATAATATTTATCCATTGTGAACAACTAAAACAGCTGCTGGGATGTCAGATTTATGTGATGATACCAGGTGCTTATCTTGATACTATTTTGGAGGCTATGATATAAAGGTCCCAATTACACAGTGGCTTTAAACACAATGCTTATATTCAGTAGTGGATGTATGTTGCCCTAATTGCAATAAAGTCTGTGAAAAATACCTATTTGCCACTTATTTCCCCTGCTACATAAACTGCAACCTGTCATGGTAAAATGTATATTTATTATGAATGACTGTAGTGTGAGGATAATGGCACAATACCCTTAATGTAGATATAGGACAACAGCAAAAATGTTCTTCAATGTTTACTTTTCTGAACATGCAATGAAAGTAACTTCATGAAGGCACAATTACAGATGAGACATGTAAAACTAATAAAACCAACTACGACATCACGTGAATATTAAATGATCACATTAAGCTTAAAGCTAAGGGAAGCCTTGTGTAGCAAGTTGGCATCAGTCAGCAATTTCCATGAAACGTGAGCAGTTTAGAGTAGACATATAGTAAGTAACGTCTTTGATTTGGAGATTCGACGGTGGTCAGATGTCTGGGTTTATTGTTGTTTTTGTCATGTTTTTACATTTTATGTTATAATTGAAACGAACGCTGCTTCCGGTACGAGTTAAATTAAGGGAGGTACCGTGGAACTGTGGGCCAGTCAGATGTCAGCACTGATAATTTGACCAATTAGATTTGAAGTTGATGACACCCATCCGCAGATGTCCATGGCGTATTCATTTTCGCGTGCTTCGATTGGATGATTAGAGTGCCTACTTTCAGTGTTAGCAAAATTATGGCGAGCTCAAATCTGTATTGTGTACGTTTACAGGAAGTGGACTAACTTTACTTTCAGCATCAGCAACGCGGAGATTTAAAAAGAAAACTTGTTGGCCGAAGGAAAAAAAAAGGAAAAGTTCAAATAGGCAGCAGATTTTGTGAGTATTAAACGTTACGAATTTGACGTTCTTCAGTTGATGCTGATGCTTCTGTGTGTGCGTACGTGTTAAATGTGTGACAATGTTTGGGATGAATCATTATTTTTATTAAATGGCTATTTTTAATTGACTTTTCAGTGACTAAGCATGCAATGATATGATAAAATGGCGTCGGCTGTGGTGGGCGTCTGGGTCCACATTCAGCTACTCTCCTTGTACTTCAGGTCCCTGAAACAACATCAGAAGCCGAAACGGTAATCAATCTTACTCTCCTAAAACAATATCAGAAGCAGTGATCTACATTTAGAAACCAAATTCAAAGTTCAGGTAGAGTATTTGTATCAAGAAATCTTATTAATTTATGACCATTAGTTTATTCTCTTCACTTTGTAACATTTGTCTTGGCTGCACGACTTCTAGTATGTGTATGTACATTACATTGATTTTTCCAATCAGATTTCAGTCTCTGTGTTGCCATGTCAGTCTAAAATGCATATGCTCTTCACACAATCAGTAATGTCGGCCCATCTAAGTTCATTGAGAGGTAAGTCTTGCATATTTGCTGTTCGGCATTTGCAATTTGACTTCTCACGGATTTCTTTTTTTGGGGGGGTGGGGGGGCTAACTATCCTTTGTTGTTCCCTGAGAAAGTCACCATTTCACTGTTATCTAATATAGAAATATTGTTTTGGTGGAACAATGTTGAAGTGAGGGCAGAGCTTCATTTTGCGCATCCAAAGCCTTGTCTAAAATAAAAATGTGCTTTTCTACCACCTTGTGTTTTTTTTGGGAGGGGGGTTGTACAGTGTTGATGGTTTCTATAGTTGCAACATTGTAGCGGTGGTATTAAGCAGTGGATTAAGTCAGGCAAGCCCCGACTAATGTCCAAGGTACTAAATACACAGCCCACCACTGACAGTGTATACAAATCTATGAAGAGATGGTGTAGGGACATCAAACATGTCTGTTACCTTTGATCCAATGTCACGGGACTTGGCTCGCATCTTGTTGGCAATCGATTCAGCCACGTCAGCTCTCTCTTCAGCCTCTTCCAACTCATGCTGAGACTTCCTGAACCTGGCCATGTGCATGTTGGCCTGCTCCTCCTGAAGAATGAATAAAAGGATTGATGCGAAGTAAATTGAAATGCCATTAATTTTGTTACACCCCACTAAAGAAAAAGGTCACATGCGTTTGATTTTTAAAAACATAGTTGGCTTAGCTAAAATGACCGTGTACTTACAGCTTCTTCAGCATGACGTTTATAGGCCTTCATTTTGATCTGCAGCTTGTCCACCAGGTCCTGCAGTCGAACGTTGGTTTTCTTGTCTTCATCAGCCTAAAAGAGATAACATTTCAGTCGACAAAGACCTTCTACGAGCAGAAAAAAAGCCACCAGAAGGCTTAAAGTTTCAGTATACCTGGTAGCTTAGCTCTTTGACCTTCCTCTCGTATTTACGGACTCCCTTGATGGACTCACTCGAGCGCTTTTGCTCAGCTTCCAATTCAGTCTCCAGCTCACGTACCTGATTTAGCACATTTTAGTGAAGACAAAGCTAAACTAAGTTCAAAATGCTTTTGTGTTTATACCCTGGTCTCAAGCTTCTGCATCTGTTTCTTCCCGCCTTTCATGGCTAAATTCTCAGCCTCATTCAGGCGGTGCTGCAGGTCCTTGACCGTCACCTCCAGATTCTTCTTCATCCTTTCCAGGTGGGCACTGGTGTCCTGTTCCTTCCTCAATTCCTCAGCCATCATGGCGGCCTGGAAGTACCACAGGAGCAGGGTTTCAATTTCAAGTATGAATCCCAACACCATGGTTGAGAGAGTTTTTCGTTTTTTTAGTTTCTGTTTTACTTTTTCGATGTACTTTTAGTTCGTTTACGTCTTAATTTCATCAGCAGATCTCTGGAAATCCTATCGTAGTCATTTATATCTCTCCTCGTGCTACAGGGGACGCAGCATGTCATTAAACTACAAACACAGTAACCGACAGGGTTGGTTTTATTTTTTGGGGACTTAAATCACGCCACTCCGAAAAAGAAGTGAAGATCCCTTGTGGATGAATAATATATTTACATCAGTGATGGCTTTCTTGGCCTTCTCCTCTGCATTTCTGGCCTCCTGACTCGCTTCTTCTATCTCAACGTGAAGCTGAGTAACATCCGTCTCCAGCTTCTTCTTGGTGTTCAGGAGACTGGTGTTCTGTCGAAACCAAAGCAGATGCTGGAGGTGAAAACACACGCGGGAGACTACATTTGAGTGGTTCAAGACTTTTGACGAAAAACACCTGAGAATGAAGAAGTCCCGCACGCTCGCTGGCATCGATTAGCTCCTGTTCTGCCAATTTGCGACTGCGCTCCGTCTGATCCACGACTGCTCGGAGCTCCTCAATCTCAGCCTGCATCAAGTTGGTCCTGCGTTCCATCATGGCCACCTGCTCCTTCATGTCATCTTGAGCTCGAAGGGAGTCATCCAGGTGGATTTGGGCTTCCTGAAAACACATTGGAGTTTTTGGTTTGAAAGGGATTACCTCTGCCACAATTTGGTTTCCATGAAAAACCCGGTATTATCAAACCTTCATTTGCCCTTGCACGTTCCTCAGTTGCTTCACAACTTCAGAGGCCTGTCTGTTAGCATGGCCTAGTTGGATCTCCATCTCATTCAGGTCTCCGTCCATTTTCTTTTTAACTCTCAGGGCATCATTCCTGCTACGGACCTCAGCGTCCAGAGTGGCCTGCATGGATTCTATCACTCGTTGGTTGTTCTTCTTCAGCTGGTCAATTTCTTCATCTTTCTCCGCCACTTTCCGGTCCACCTCCGCTTTGACTTGGTTGAGCTCCATTTGGATGCAGAGTATCTTGGATTCCTCTTGTTCCAGGGAGGCCTGAACAAATGAACGTTGTCATAATAGTTTGTCTTCTTTCGAATATTTGACATCGTGTGTGATGCTTACCTCAGCTTCTTCCAGCGCAGTTTGCATCTCATATTTTTCGGTTTCAACATTCTTCTTGAATTTCTCCAATTCATGGATCGTTTTCCCACTTTCTCCTAGCTGCTCTGTCAGGTCTGTGATCTCCTCTAAATTTGGACAGTAGACACATTTTATTAAGTAATCTCAAAAGTTTATTCTTACTTCTCAGGCTTACGATGCAGGTTCTTGTTTTCCCTCTTCAGTGTCTCCAGGTGATCAAGGGCCTCCTCGTATGAGTTCTTCAGCTTGAAGAGCTCCGTGCTCAATGATCGAGATTCCTTTTGAGCGCCTTCCAGCTCAGCCTGAGACTCATCATACTTCTGCTTCCACTCTGCTAGAATCTGAACTCAACAAAACATGATTGTCCTCTTCATTAAGGACTGGAAGTCGAGAGATTGACCTCCATCTTACAAGCCACATACCTTGTCAAAGTTTCTCTGCTTCTTGTCCAGTGTGGCTGCTACGTTGTTGGACCTTTCCACGTCCACCATGAGATCTTCCATTTCATTGTGAAGTCGCTGTTTAGTTTTCTCCAGCGAGGCACACTTTGAGTTCACTGCCTCGATTTGTTCCTCCGCCTCTTGGAGACGTTGGGCCAGCTTTTTCCTGTGGAAGATATTGCCAAAACTCAGTTATGTGAATCATTCCGAGCGTGAGCCTGAGCTTACTTGGCCTCCTCCAGCTCTTCAGTGCGTTGGATGGCATCCGTCTCATATTTGTTTCTCCAAAGAGCAACCTCGGTGTTGGCTTTGGACAAAGCACGCTGCAGCTCTGCCTTGGCCTCCTGCTCTTCCTCGTATTGTTCACGCAGGAGGTCGCAGTCATGACGAGATGATTGGAGGCTGTGTGCCAGAGCGTTCTTGGCCTGTGTAGGTGTATATGACAAATCACTATCGTGTCACACATTCTTCTGACCACTTGTAAACAATGTCGTTTGACCAACCTATTGAGAAAACAGGAAATGGTCTCAATGACTGAGGTTCTTCTTGTGGGGTGGTACGTAAAGTCTCATATTCAGAAGGAAATATACTTCTGATTAGCAAGCCGCCTTCTCTACTGTCGTGAATGTGTGAAGTGAAAGTCAAAAAGAAAATGCAACCAGAGGTAACCTGCTTAGAAGGTAAACCCAATTCTGGCCGTAATTTACATTCCCCCAAAAAGGTTGATTAAAACAAACACGGACAATAAGACATAGTTAACATGATCATTGAAAGACTGGCTAATAGAGCTCATACTCAATCCCAAAATCT